CTCTCTTTCTGTCTCTCTCTTTCTGTCGGTCTGTCTGTCTGTCTCTCTCTGTCACTGTCTCTCTCTCTCTGGTGGGAGAAAGATGGCCAAGTTGGGTGTTGTGCGTCGTGTGTAGTGTGTACCTCTGGCAGTCAGTTCACTGTCGGTATGGAGCGACAAATTTACTTTAGGACCGTACAACTCGGGCAGTTAGCGGTGTGAAGGCGTGAATACTTGTAGGCCTACTATATTTTATATATTTATATATATGGTAAAGGCACTCCTTTTCGTACAATACTGATGAAGAATCTACATTCGACGAAGTTGTTTCCTGCTTACAACAAAGTGAAAAAAACGCCCACCGTTTAAAAAAAAAAAGAAGAAAAATAAACAAACTTATATAAACGGCCTCCTGCATTCAGTAGGGGTGAACTTGAACTAGAACTATGAAATAGACGCCAAACTTTTAGATACACATTCCTTGGGCGAAGTGGACCATGCCGTAAATTAGAGTACCGTGTGTTATAACTACAATGGTTTGAAGATTGAAGCCAAGCTCATTTTTCTATTCTCTATTCTACCTTAAGTTGTTGAAAGCATCCACGAGTACGAGTGGCATCAAGAAGAAGAAAGTCCATGTGTCAAAATAAAAGAAAAAAATACACATTTAGATTAATAGATTCAGTCAGACATGTACAAGCGGCACATGTTTTTTAACTGCAGATAATGAGATCGATAAACAGTAAAGGACCTTACATTTTAGAATACTTCTACTTCTAGTATGAAGATCTCTTTGGAACTTTCAGTATTTCTCAAAAAATCATTTTGACAGACTGCTCTGCACAGCGAACGGATCGGATTAACGAGTAAATTTCCTCTTTGAAAGTGGTGGAACAGAGTTTCTCACGCCGTATGGATACGATAGTAAAACACGATGTACAGATAGGGTTAAGTTATTTATAAGGCCATGTCATACATGTGGCCTTTTCGTAATATTATTAAAAGAAAAAAAAAACGACATCCGCCATCGACCGAACTTTTCTCCGAGTTTATCAGTGGTATTCACAGGATCTATTGACACCAAATCTGATTGGATTATCATTCTTTTTCTCCCTGAATACTTCTACAAAGACAACAGTACCTCAGAAAGATGAACTTTTAGGAAAGGCTCATTCATATGGATCTAATAGTCCTGTCAGATTGTTACTGGTTACATTTTCACGTGAAAGTTTGACTCCGACTGCAATGATCTGACCAAATTGACATTATCATAATATATGTATGAAGATGGGATTGGTCAAAATATGTACAGTAATGACTGTATTGCACCGGGTCAACTTGTGAACCGACACAGGGCTCCACTTTACGCACATATGTGCGTATATTACCCCTTAAACCTGCAGATTACCCCCTTAAAGTTTTGGTGGTGCTTGAGCATTACTCTTTAAAATTTCGTTTCGGGGGTTTGCATACGCTTTAAGACATAGGTGATGTGCGTCTGAAAATCAACATTTTCCCCCTTCTCTACCCCGAAGCTGAGTCAATGATTTGACAACACATCCACACACATGACACCGCCGTCACCTTTTGTCTGTTTATGACTGTGTCAGAAGCAGTCCACCAAGAATCTACATATTACTTATCAGCTGTGCGAAGTTTCCGGCGACACCGGCCTTTCTTGAGCAGAGAAGCTCCGCCCACATTCTGGTCGCTCGCATTATATTTGCCGGTGTCCGCCTTGAGTT